ATCTTTTAAAACACACATATGTGTTATATTCCATTTTCCAGGAGAGGTCTGCCATGCCATGTGGTCACCTCCGGGGCAGGCGGGAATCGAACTCATGCAGAAGTGGCTCCGGCTTCTTAGTGCAGTGCTTTAACCCACTGCGCCACCAGGGAGGGCCCTCTTTCTTTCTTTTTTTATTGTAAGCAACAGAATTTTATTTCTCACAATTCTGGATGCCTACGAGTCTTTGGTTAGGATGCTAATATCTTTTAAAACACACATATGTGTTATATTCCATTTTTCAGGTGTAAGGTTTACATTTTAATATCTATAAATACAACACAATGAGCACAAGTCTAGTCCCATCTATCACCATAAAACTGAACCCCTTCCCCATTTTACCTGCCACCTGAAGGAAGACTCTTAAAGCAGCAGCCCAACTAAGCCTCTGAGTTGTGGGTATATCGCCCCCTCTCCTCGCTGACAAGGGACTGGAGTGTCTATCATTTGTTGAGTGAACTTCACCAGGACCCAGGACTCCTTATCTCCAGAAAAACAAAAACTCATGTGAGTTATAACCAAAAATGTCCTCCCTATTACCAGCCTGGTTGGTTCCCAGATGGGGGAGGCAGATCATGCCAGGCCAGCTGCACCCAAACAAGGAAGCGTGTTACTGCCGGCCGGAGCAGGAACACTGGGAGTTTCTTAAAGGCTGGAGAGAGGATGCCACTCTATTGGGCTGCAAGCGGGACTGTGAAAAGGTCCTGGAAAGACTCATCTTCTTTGAATCTGAGGCTCTGGACAATCATTTCTGGCACACCAGCACTTCCACCCAGTCATAGGAAGATTGGGGCCGCTTCTGTTCAGGTTGTCTTGCATTATGAGTAGGGTCCCTGCCAAACGATCACTAACAGGAGCTCACCGTTGCCAGAGCCGAAAATAGCCTGCACAGAGCTTTCCTGGAGCTGCTGCAAACAGCTTAAATTTCGCTTGTGTTTTATCACAAGGAGCTCCCCGGACGCTGGGGTCTTTGCATTTTCAATATGGCATTGGGGAGAGAACAGGAGTAACTACTAACTTCACCTGGAACCAGACAACGGACCTGCTCTAGAATCATTGCAGGAAAAGGCTACTTGTTAAAGTTGTAGATTCCAGGAAACAGCCACAGACTCATCAATTAGAACCACAAGCCCAGGAATGTGCATTTTAAAATGTCTTCCAGAGATTTTCTTCATCAGACTTTTCAATCTGAAGGGCCAACAACAGCCCCTCAGTTTGTGTGAGGGGTAACTTTATTAGGGGACACGGTATGCTAACAGCCATCATTCCTCCAACGTGAGTGGGCTGCCAGTAAACATTTCAACCTACATTTGCCCACTTCCCAAGCCATACCCATATTTAGAAAGGGAGAAGAACATTAAGCTTCTTTGGATTCCTTCCGCCTTGCTTTGTTATACCTCTCCCAGGCTGTGATTGGGGGGGTCATACGCAAGGTCCAGTGCACGGAACTTATTTATTTTTATAAACTAACATTCTTTTTTATTTATTTATTTTTTTGCTGTTTACATAGTTACCAAGTTGAACCTAAGTTCTCTTTTGATTTTCCTTAGTCTAGTAGACACTATGGTAAACGCCAACTTTTGATTTACCAGACAGATGAAGGAAAATAATGATGGAAAGAACTGGCCTGTACTCCAATTCTATGTGCATAAATGAATAAATCATAAAAAATAAATGTTTAAAAAGAGATGTGAAGTCACTGGCCAACAAGAAGGTCACTGGGTCAGGTGAGAAGCCTCCCTGGGGCAGAGTCTCTCACACGTCTTCTCCTCAGGGCCTCGGATGCAAAATGACCCAAATTCTATTTCCTTCAGGGACAATAAAATAATGAAAAGGAGAAAAAAAAACAAAAAGACAGGGTGTGAAGGCACTTGGTAAATACAATGGCTATTTGAAGTAAGCTTTTTTTTTTTTTCTTTTTAACTAAATAGGATTAGAATCATTCCAGGGGAGCAAATATTATGTCGCACTCCAATCTTTCAATCAGGATTGGGGTTCTTCAAGTGCAGCCTCTCTATTGGCTCCTGAATCTGGTTAAAAACAGTTTGGTTTGCTTATTTCTGCTCAGTTTGATGTTCTTTGCCAGGTCGGGGGACTAGCACGTGGGACCATGCAAAGTGTGGTTGAAGATCCCTCAAAATGCAGGCTAAATGACATTTTCTCCAACATAAATTCGTTATAAACTCACAAAGGGGTACATTCAATGCAGTGGGTCTGCAGCCAATGCCAGTGAAAATGAGTAGGATTTCGTCACATCAACACAGGGTTACTGGTACTTTTATGTTGCTGATAAAATGCCCATCCAGGCATAAAGCTCATGTGTTATATAAGTGGATTAATGGACAATTTACTGCTTTTCCATCATTTTTACTATGTTTGAAAATTCATAATAGTATGTGTAGATTGTATTTGATAAGAAAGGGAAGATTAGTAAGCTAAATGTGCAAGGTGGATACAGCTAAGAGATTGTCAAACTGCATCTTGTCCTCTTGGGCTTCATAGTGACTCCTTGGCCTATTCAGTTACTCCACATAATCTCACAGGGGTACTCTAGCCCCTTAAAGGTTATGAGAAACGTTTAAGTATGTGGTTCATTTGTCACCAACCTTGGGTTCTGGTCTTTGTTCCTGTCATTGAGTAGACCTTCCTGTTGTGGAAAACCTGATCGGTTGGCTGTGCTTGCCTTCCTAGCCGCCTTCCGTCACCTCTATGAGTGAGGTTGTCTAGTACCTGTCTATATCTTGCTGAGTAATTTCATTGTGCAGGATTCCTTTGAGGTTTTCTATTTGCTGCAGTAGGAAAATTTCATCTTTCCTTATAGCTGGGAAACATTCCATTGTGTGTGTGTGTACACTGTATCTTCTTTTTCTAGTTTTTTCTAAACATTTCTTTTTTCATGATTTATTCATTTATATATAGAGAATTGGGGTACAGTCCAGAGGCGGGGGTGTGTGAAAGGATTCACCAGAGTCAGAGTAGAGAGCGGAACAGGCAGATGTACTGAAACACACTGCTGAGGGGGGCAGCAAACAAGAAGGGAGTGGTCCACTGGGCCATGTGGGTCACCTCCCTGGCTGGGGATTGAATTTGTGCTGCAGTAGTTGCAATAACTCCCTAGTGTTATGCCACCAGAGATCACCGGACCCACATTTGAACATCATTAGAGTATGGGGTTGAGATTATGGATGTCCTTGGGAATGTTGCTTTGCTTTAAAAAACTACAAAAGTAGTTAATATTAAAAATGGTTTAATATTGTATAAGGCCTTTCTTTGTATAAAAGATTCCAAATTATTCCTCACTGATAGAAATTAGAATTTGTTTAAGTTTTGTTTGTTTGCTATATAATTAGTTCTGATCATTCTTCAACATATGTCAGGAGATACACGTGCCATACAGGTGTGCGCTAACATTTTCTTTAACCACAGGGAGCTATTCACAGCCTCATATATCAATTTCCCAGGTCCACTTGAGGCTGGTGACACAGAGCAATGTTTGCTTTCCTTCCTCACTTTGCCCCAACAGCCTTTCCCTACTCATGCCCTGCCAGCACTGACTTTTACCACAGGTGGTTCTTGTATCTCCCATCTCCTTGAAATGGGGCTTCCAACATTAACCAACTTGAGCACCTGCTAGAATGTGGCCTGGATGAACTAAGTCTGCTCTTTTGCACTTGACCTTTTCCAGTTTCTTAGTTATGGGGAAGCCAATTCTGGACAATCAAGAACTCCCCTGGAGTGGCAGCTCTGCCATGGGCCAGAGATCCACCAGATCCACATTAGAACATCACTGCGTCTTCTGAGGACTTTCAGTAACAGTGCTGCTTTGGACAGAATGTTCAGCAAATCACATGACTGCAAATTTTAGCTGTTTCATTCAACTAGGCTCCTTGACTAAAAATAATGTGTTAAGCTTAGTATTATTAGCTTTCAATTTGCCAAAAGCTGTTGAAGCACCAAGCCACAAAGGAAATGTTTATCTGAAAGAAACGATAAACAGGAGAATGCCGACCAAGAGGACATACTCCTTTTAAGGCCTGTCCACTCCTGTCCACTTCAAAACACGCGCGTGCACCCACACATGCACACACACATCCTGTTTTTGCTTTGGATCAGAACATGCTTTGGTGGAACCACGCCATCTGCGTTCTCCCGGGTCCTGAACCGATGGAAGACACACGGCTAGGGCTTCTCGGTCGTCGTCGTCATCGCCACGGCCTCGAACGCAGGCCCTGTCACCCGGGCGGGGCGGGAAGGCTCTGGAGCGCAGCAGCGTTGAGCGCATCCGAATTCCCTCCTCTGCCGCTGAATGGTGGAAAACTGGGAGACCGCAACCGGCCCCTGCGGCTCGACTCGCCATTGGCTGCGACGAGGTGGCAATCAGGGCGGGCCCGGGGGCGCTCTGGCTCCAGCCTCAGGCAGCCGCCGCGGTCCTGTTGCGCTGTCGCCGCCGCCGCCGCCGCCCGGGTCCCTCCCGCCGCGCCTGTCGTGGGGGGCTGCCTCCCGGCTCCGGGCGTAGACACCATGGTGAGTGCGGCGGGTGGGCGATACGCGGGCTCACGCCTGGCCGGGCCTGGCCACCCCAGGAGACCCCCGGGGCCACCGGAACTTGTCGCGGGGGAGCCGGAGCAGTCGCGACGGTGGCCTGAGCGCGGGGCCGGGGAGGTGGATCGCGGGGGTCGCGGCGCCGGCGCTCGGTGCCCTCGCGCCCTAGGCCGGCGGCCGCGCTGCGCTGCGCTGCGCTCGGCTTCCGGAGCTCCGGGAGCCGCCGAGCCGCGGAGGTGCCGGGGCTTCCAGCCCCCTGCAGCCCTGCGGGGTGGGAGGCTGAGCGTGGGCGGCTGGGGAGACGCCTGGTCCCCGTCCTCTCCGCCAGGCGTTCCTGGGTGCTCGGCCTGTGCCGGAGCGGTGATCGGTGAGCAGGGTGGGGGGAAGAAGGTGGCAAGGATAAGGGGGCGATGGCGGGGAGGGGCTGGCCCTGAACCCGGAGCAGGCTGCGCCCTGAGGGGGCCCCTCTTTAGCACCCGGTGGCCGAAAGACGGCAGAACCAGAGGGCGGGGCGCAAGGTTAAACTGGCCGAGTCTCAGCGCAGGCTGCAACCTCTTCCTCGAGCCTCTTCCCACCTCCAGAGCGTCCTGACACCGGCTTCCCCTGTGTCCGCAGTACGGATTTGTGAATCACGCGCTGGAGCTGCTGGTGATCCGCAATTACGGCCCGGAGGTGTGGGAAGACGTCAAGTAAGTGACGGCGCCGCACCCGCCCCCCGCGCGGGCGCGGCTTGTGCTCGCGCGTGGGTCCCGGGGTGGCCCCGGGACTGTCCGCGTGCAGCTTCAAGCTCAGCTTCCTGCCAGGTCTCGGCGGGCATCCTCCTAGATGCTTCCGGCCGCCGCTCTCCTCTGCAGCTGCGCTCCCACGCTCCGGAGCTGAGATCCAAAACCGAGGGGTGTCCGCGGGGCTGGGAAGGCGAGAGCCTGGGGAAGGCGCCCTGGGGTCACCGCGGCCTCGCGACCCGGCCTGAGCGTGGGAATGTGCTGCAGCGCCGGGGCTGGCCGGCGACTCCCACGCAGAGAGGGGCTCTGGGGACCGCAGAGACCTCAGAGACATTCTTGCTCACACTGGTCTTAGAAATGCATAGACGACCTCGGCTACCTTATAACTTACACATCAAATAGTTAAGCCCTTCTGATAAGTGAAATCTCACTTCTCTTGACACTCGAGTGTATTTATTCGGAAGTAAAGTGACATGTCGATTTTATTCCCCCCTAAAGGCATCCCTCCACACTCCCCGCCGCCACCCCCCCCCACTGTGATGGAAACTAGGAGAGCACCCTAATTTCAGCCTCTTAGTTTCCAGGTTCCTGTTGTGCTCCCAGTAGTCTGCACGTGACCGAAAATACCAGTTACCTAAGTTCAAACCTGTTGGAATGTGGATCTCCTGTGTGGGCATTGCATTGTAACAAAATTCTCTCTCTTTTTCTCTGTCTCACTCTGGTGAAAGGTGCATTACATTATATTACGTAATAGATAACCACAACCAGTAGATACGCAGAAACCAAATATGTGGATTTTCACATTAGAACAACTGTCTGTCACCTTGGGGGAGGGGGCAGGGAGGGAGTGGCTCCTTGGGCAGAGGAGAACATATTGTCATTATTAATATTTTTCATTCCGTGTATCACATAGGTGATGTTTCCTTCCCCCCCACCCCAACCCCAAGACACACAATAGTTGTTGGCAATCATTCCTAACAGGCTATATGATACAGTTACATGCTAGTGATTTTGATAATTATCTCTTTGTGTGGGAATCACAAAAATGAAGCAGCAGGTACTGGAAATTGTTTCCTTCTCCTGGAGCTGCACCAGTGAGCCTTCCTTCATGTTCTGTAACGGATTTGTTACCCACAGCGCATATTCTAAAGAGAAATGGTGATTTAGGGTTGAATTCAATAAGAATTTAGATAATAAAGGTTACTTTGGGGCTTGAATTTTCTGTTCACCCTTTTCATACCTTCATAATTTTAATTTTGCTTGGAAGACAAAATTATAGAGAAGGCAGACATTGAAGTCGGATTTTAGACAGTGTGACTTTAGAATAGAATTGTTTTTAAAGCCAAGTTGTGAATTTATAAGAGCAACATACATACCCTCCAGCATGTGATGTTCTTATCTGTAAGGCAGAAAGTCTCATGAATTAAACCTACCACAAGTAGGTTTAAAATTTTGAGAGCACATAAAAGATGGCTATTGTAGTTAGTCGATGTATATTTAAACCAGATTTGTAATGTAAAGTATCAATTTAGATTCACTTTAAACAGACTTGAGAAATTACACCTCATTGGAAAATGCATCAGAAATTTCAAAAATGAAGTATCAAGCTACTTGTTTTTATTGGCTACATTTTCCCCCAGATAAGGTCAAAATATTTAAAAATATACAAATTCTAGTGATGTGAAGACTTAACCTTGGTGCATCATGCTAAGAATATTGTTACATTCTGTTTTTAATTTTTTATTAATTTTAATTAATTCAAAATTAACATAATCATCTATTGTTATTGATTTTTAACTAAACATCAATTTTTAGCCACAAATTTATCAAATTTAAGCCACTTCAAAGCGCACTTTTAATCTGCTTAAATACAGAATAATTGAATCATTGGAATTATTTCTGCTAGAATAAAATCATAAGAATCTTATCAAATTACTTCTTCAAGGATTATATGAGCTGTAAGACAATATTATTAATTGAACTAGCGTTTGTCACAAGGTGTTAACTGGGATGCTTTCATTGTCTAAACATCTTTCTTGGTGGCACCGTTTGCCACTTGGTACAGGTGGGTGCCTAGGCCGGAGAGTGTACTTCAGCTTCTCATCGAGGAGACTCAAGTAGCATAGCTCAGTCTCCTCAGGACATTCCGCTCCTCCCCCAGTACTCTTATCTGCTGCAGAAGGATTATTGGTCCAGGAGGCTTTCAATTTTAACTTTTCATGAAAAACGATACAGTAAAGAAAAATGTTTTCATCTCAGTAAATACAAAATTCCAAACTGATGTTTATAAAATTTTATATAAGGCTTTTGGTTCTAGTAGGAAATGGTCATCCCTCCTTTGTGAGAAAGGATACCAAACTTTAATGACAAATAAAACCCTAAGTAACAGGTTCCACACAGAAAATTCTAAATGCATATGAGGCAGCCAATAATATAACCATTTTGCCAGGGATTTAAATGTCTCTTTAAGGAAAAGAATAAATGTCCAGACCAACATTAGTCAATCTCTTAAATGGCCAGATTGAAAATATTTACAACCTCAGACCAAGAATCAATATTGAAGAGATGTAACTATGCAGATGTAAAAATCAGGGCAGATCTGGTACTGCTAAATCATAAACAACAGTGTAAACAAATGTTACCTCAATGAAAAATGTAAAAATCATTCTTTGGTCCTGACCAAACAAAAACAGGTGGTCAGCTGGCTTTGATGCATGCAGACCGCTGATTTAGATCACATGGAAAAGCAAAAGCAGTCTCTACTGCTAGTTCAAATCTCACGTAATATGTTGGCTTCTTCTTAGTTTCAGACTGTTACTTCAAGAAGCCATGGTTCCTGAGTGATGAGAACCGCCCCTCCCAACCAAAAATAACAGCTGATTAAATCAGCACTGCCAACTCCCACCCTCCTGTGTACCATGGCTAAACTAGTTATTACTTAAATTAACTTATTAGGTTCAATTTTAGATTATTTAACTTTATTGGAACATAAAGATGAATTTAAAAAAGAAACAAAACAAAAATCTAGGATGCCTGAAAGTAAAAGCAAACAAACAAAATTACCATCCTGAAAGCTATTTTGCCTCCTGTGGATAAAGCCAAGAAATGTTAAAAATAGATTTTAATAGAGCTTTAAACTCTAAAGTTTATAGGGTATATTTATTGCTGCTTCTAAATTTTACGGGAAGATCTGAGATGAACATTTTTGGTGTGATATTTGAAAATAATGTTATGACAGTGTTCACTGACAATACTTGGAAGAATTCCCCTGCAAGACTCAGTAAGTGACCTGTGTGCATAAAACACATATATGTTCAGGGTGGCTTTATCTAATTTATATTAGGACAAATATTCATTTAGTCATTCTTCCTTTGATTTATTAATTCGTGGTTTCATTCTTGACTGAAGTTTATTTATTTATTTATTTATTTAAAGATTTATTTATTTATGCATACAGAACTGAGGTACTGGCCAGAGGTGCAGGGGCGGTGAAAGGACCCATCAGAGACAGAGTGGGGAGCAGAACAGGCAGATCAACGAAGTACACTGCTGAGGGGAGCAGCGGCAAAAAAAGAGAGGTCTGTTGCTCCCTGTGGGTCACCTCCCTGGCAGGCGGGGTTTGAACTCATGCTGAAGTGGCTTTAGCTTCTTAGTGCTGTGCTTTAACCCGCTGCACCATCAGGGAGGGCCAGAGTTATGCTTTTTAATTTTATGCTAGGACCAAAGTTTTTCAACTTTTCAGCAAAACTGAAAGATTTGAGACCTTTCAAATACCAGTAGCTCCCTGATGTTGTCATTCTGCAGCAGGCTAAGTGGTCTCGCATCACACAAGGCTGAGGAATAACCTCCTTGCCATTTCCACGCCTAATCCGCATCACATAACTGCTACTGGCTTTTTGAACTTGATGAGCACCCTGGTGCTGCCCTTGCTGGCTGCTTGCAAGTTTCTCTTGTCTCACTGCCCTTTCTGCATTTTATTCTGCTATTTTTCTGTGCAGGTTCTATTTGGAATCATTCTACCTTATATTCTCCCAGCCTTCCTTGTCTAATCGGTTAGGGATGTTACTTGCAACACAGCATATGTTCTTAATACTCATTTTATCAAAACAAATGAAAACAAATAAAACCACATCACACATTTGCCTTGTTTTAACCAGATTTTCATATTCGTGAGGCCAGCGAATTAAATGTTGGTGCCTTTCTGTATCCTTGCTCAAGGTTTAATGGTACTTCACATTATAGAAGATGCTTGAAATTTCCCAACCCTTTTTCTTCTGTAGGCTCTGCTAAGTCCTGCAACAGTCATTTGGAAGAGGGAGGGCCTTTCTGACTCAATGTTTGCATGTTTTTTCTTTAAATGAGAAAGCTGAGTTTCCAAGAGGTTAAAAGTCTAGCCAAGAAATTGTATAGAGGAAGCTGAAAAGTCAGGCCCTAACCTTCGAATGCTGAGTTTACTTTTTTTTTCAGACAAGATAGGAGTTAATATAGCATATTATGTGTGTGTGTGTAAGAATATATATATATATATATATATATATATAAGAAACCCATGCTCATGTTCATATTCATATTCAGACATTTCCTGAGTATTAACAAGCAATTAACATGCAGATCAAAACATAGGTCAACCTGATCATCATTAAAATCAGAGGATTTCTCTGTAGAAAAATCTCCAGTTAGCCTGAAAGATAGAGGAAGACACAGGGTGTTAGTTGGTAAACTCACTAACATTTGAAGTTGTTTGCAGGAAGAACTAAATGTCCAGCATAAAACCCTACATCTTCCTGCCTGTGTGCTCTCTGCCTCAGGCTCTCCCAGAACCTGGACCATCTCTGCTGAGCAGCATTGTGCCTAGATAGTAAGTCAGGTCAGAACCTTATCTCAGGGATTTTCTCTGATGCTCTGAAGCATCCATCTCCTCCCCTGCCTGAAATCAAAGTGGCTCTTTATTTTCCCTGAATTCTGTA